ATTATAAAAAAAAAAAAAAAAAAAAAAAAACTTTTGATAGTTAAAAAGCCAAGTGAACATTATTCCCATCAGCTATTGGTCAGATGCCCCGCCCCCAAGCTCATGTCATTGGCTGAGCCACTGTTGCTATGTCAGGCTGGTCGGGATTCTCAAACAAAGAGAGCAATGTTTTGATAGCCCCTCATTGTTTACACTTTACAACATAATTGTCTTAAAGTTGTCTGTACTCTAACTTGGGACTGGAGAAAATAATTTAACATCCTTTTAATACTTAAAATGCTAAGTTAACAGATCATCTGTGTGAATCATCGGTGTTAAAAGTCACATGTGTTCAACACCCCTGTGTCCATCCTATGAAATGGGGGAAGGCAGGACCCAGGAGAGGCGAAGAGGAGATGAGGGGAGCATTGTGAATATGTCAGGGCTACTTTGACAGCTGGACAGTTTTCTAAAAGGGACGTTGCTGGCTGTTTCCCCCTCCGCACTTAGACAATGAGCCTCAGGCTGGACAGCACACACAGAGGGGAGTTTTGATTAAATAAGCAATCAGGAACAATGAGCCCATTCTGCCTTTCATTACGTACCCCGTTGCACTTTCAGAGCGCTTTTCACATTTACTGTCTGCACTAAACAGACGGGTGAGAACTTTTTTTAATTAGTTCAGGGAAGACAGAATGCATTGAAATGTCTGACGCACTAAATATGATTTAATAAGGCAATACAACTATATTGTAAAAGACAGTGACATCTATGAGAATTTAGGGTTGGAGGATTCTCATGAAAAATTTAATTGAGTTTATAATGAAATTTGACTTTAAAGAAACAGGGATCTGTGGCTGTTGGGAAGCAACATCTACTTTGACCTGCACAAGTAGAATAAGATGGTTTGAAAAAGTGAGAGAATGGTTCTATCATGGCAACCCTATTTGTAGCACACCATTATAACAATCAAACCTCAACCCCTGACCACCCCCAAAATCAAACTCCAAAATCTCTGCCCCAAATGAAAGAAAATAAGCATACCACAGGCGTCAAGAAAAAAAAGGGCAACAGTATGTATTACCAACATCAACTCAAAACACACAACCACTCACATAATGCCATAAATGAGAGGAATGAAACAAAACCTTCCTTTTTCTCACTCAGGTCAAAGGGCAAAGATGCTCCTATGAAATCTTTCATAGATGCCTTGCCAGCCTGAGGTGATAGCAGGGATTGTGTTAATATAGACTACCATAAGAGTCAAACACAGAGAAAATACACTCAGCTTCAAACATTGAGAAGTTCACATTCAACCTGCACAGGCGCCACAACAAAAATATCACCACACACACACACAGGTGACTATTCGCTCATTTAAATAAAATACTTCACTCATTTAAAACGAGGTTCACATTGTGAACAGACATCTCACAGACATTCATTCTGTGATTTACATATGTATCAGTGTGAGAAATTTAAATGAACAAATTATTGGTAAGCAACTTAAAAATGATCAGTTAAGGGACAATATTTGCCCTGGATCTTATGAGCATTTATTTCTATTTTTATGGGGGCACAGTTTCAATTTAATAAATTAATGAATTAATATAACATTAGTAATTAAAGTAATTAGATATATGAGAATGTTACCAATCAAATTTTTAAAAATCAATCAATTTTAAGATTGCACCAAAATAGGTCTACAAAATATAGAGTTTGCCCATGCAAAAGTCACAATGGGTAGTTGTTAGGGCATTGCTATGCGGTTTGCTAAAGTACTGTGGCTGGTCACTAAGATGTTTTTGACTCTAGATTGTATAAAGAATAGCTTAAGCAGTAAAGTTATAACAAACAAATAAATGCAATAAACCTACTAGCACTTAATGGATGTAGCTAAGCACATTTAAAAAAAAAATTAAGTTAAATGTAATACTCTTGCTCAGGGCATGTCTATCACAACATGGTCTAATATTAGGTTGGTCTGTTAGTTGTTAGTACATTGGGATTCATACTACCGAACACGCTGTCTAAAAGCAGTACCAAGTTACAAAGATATGACAGAAACCTTGCGCAACCACTTTTGAGTTAAATAAAATGCAGCTGACTCAAGACCACAATCAGTGCAGCTCTTTTAGTGTGAGTGACAGGGAGGGCTGGATGCTATTTTCTGCTTCCTCGGTCATTCCACACTAGAGTGCTGTTTTCTAAATGCAAGAAGTTTTTACCTTCTACATCTTTATCTGTTTGTCTTGTGAGCCCTTAGGAAAATCTACGCATCTGATCAGCCTTTTTTGTCACATGTCTATGCCCAAATAATCAATTATTTATACAAAGAACCTACTCCCATTGAAAACCAACTATCAGGTTTTTTCAAATAGAGATTAAAATAACTGCACATAAATTTATCCATCTAGAGCACTGCAGGCCAGGAACCTTGAGGTTTGTGTCTAAATAAAGGTCAACTTCAGACTTGAGTTTCACAGATCTAGAAGACACCTGTTGTCATCTGTGAAGATCTCAGCTGTGCAACTAAGATCAGGGAGAAGAGAACTAGACTTACATATTCTACACAATTTGGACAAATTCGCCTGCATGATCCGGTTAGGCTGTTTTTACACACTATGTGTGATAATGGCCGATTTAACGCTGAGCTCATGAGAAACTCTAAAAAGAAATTTGCAGAACAGGCATGACTTTGCAAATTTCAAACCTGACTCATATATTACACAGTTCCAATTTGACTACCAACACCGTTTGGCCCCTGAGCAACCTTTTCCAACCGCTTCAAGGTCAAAGAATGATGCCACTGTTCATTTGACACGCGGCTTCCTGACAACACTGTCAAAAAATGCCTTAACACAATGCACTGGTGCTAGACGAGGGGTGCCATCTCAGCGGCAATGTGGCACATGTTGGGCCTTGTTGAGTTTATCTCAAAGCTAAATGTCAGGAGCGGCCCAACCCCCCAAGCCGAGAACGAGTTTGTGACAGTGACCGAAGCCAGAGAGAGAGATAGAGGGAGAAAGAGAAAGACAGAGTGTTAAAGAGCGAGAGAAAGCTTCATGCGACTGCAGTGTCAGCACTACAGCCTTTGTGCAAAACAATGGTGAAGTTTGTTTTCCTTAACACCGCACGGGGCCATGTGACGAAGGCTCGCTCAGGGGGCTGTGGGCATCCAGACATTTGTTTGTCACAACAGAGGGCTCACAACACTGCAAACACATGCATGCATGTCACAAAGACACACGCTCACCCACACGTATACGCACACGTATACGCACACACTGTGGAATCCTCCACAGATTAAACAATGACACTGAACACCTGCCAGTTTTTTAATATGCCTGCTGATCTTACAGTAAATTGTCAAGTTGCCTCTGTAAACTGTTATTTCTTCGTCTTTCTGTCTTTGGCATGATATACACTACTGTTCAAAAGTTAAGGGTCGGTAAAAAAGATAAATTAATAAGAAATTAATACTTTTTTCAGCAGGGATGCATTAAATTATTATTTTTTTTAAATCACAAAAGTGAGTAAATACGTTTATAATGTTGCAAAAGATTTTTTATTTCAAATGTTTACTTTGTTTTACTTTCTATTCAAAGAATCCTTAAAACATATATAGCATGGTTTTTACAAAAATACTAAGCAGCACAACTATTTTCAACATGAATAATAATAAGAAATGTTTCCTGAGCAGCTAATCAGCATATTAGAATGATTTCTGAAGGATCGTGTGACACTGAAGACTGAAGTAATGGATGCTGAAAATTCAAATAATAAAATAAAATATAATAAAAAGAAAACAGTTAGTTTAAAATAATAAATACAGTAATATTGTGAAATTTAGTCAAATAAATGCAGTCTTGGTGACCTTAAGAGACCTCTATCAAAACACAAAAAATGACCAACCTCAAACTTCTGAACAGCAAACTTACATGAGCAGGTAGTCAGGACAGTTAAAAAAAAAAATAAACCCATAAAAAAATGTAAAAAATTCTATCATCATTTACTCACCCTCATGTAATTCCATACCTGTATTTTCTTTCCTGAGACATAAAATAAGATGCGAGATCCGAGCTGTTAATTTCCATATAGTAAATAAATATACATGGTGATTTTTAATACCCAGCTCCAAAATGGCAAAAGAAGCACTATAAAAATATGACAAAACTGACTTATACTCTATACTTCAAATCTTCAGAACCTATTCAATAATTCTGTGTGAGGAACAGACCAGAATTTAAGTTATACACCGAAAAGACACAAAAGATCCCATTGTATTTGGCGTCAATGCTTAAATATGCCAGTTTTGCAGTTCACTTTTAGCAAATAGCTACTTAAAGGGTTAGTTCACCCCAAAATGAAAATTCTGTCATTAATTACTCACCCTCATGTCGTTTCAAACCCGTAAGACCTTCGCTCATCTTTGGAACACAAATTAAGATATTTTTGATGAAATGTGAGAGCTCTCAGACCCTGCATAGACAGCAACTCAACTGCAATGTTCCCAGGTCCAGAAACGTAGTAAGGACATCGGTAAAACAGTCCATGTGACATCAGTGGCTCAACTTCAGTTTTGCGAACGAGAATACTTTTTGAGCGCAAAGAAAACAAAAATAACTAACTAAATAATAATTTTTTCAACAATTCTTACGTATTAGTTACGTTTTCTGCCATTTTGGAGAGTACCCAAGAGCGTAATCAGCGTTGTTTACGTTCGGGGGAGAAAGCGCACGCATGAACGTAATCTGCGTAATCAGTGTTGTTTACGCTTAGGGGAAAGCGTGCGTATGTGTTGTGATACTCTCTAAAATGGCGGAAGACGTAACTCGGGTGAGAAGAATTGTTGAATAAATTATGGTATTTTTGTTTTCTTTGCGCTCAAAAAGTATTCTCATAGCTTCGCAAAACTGAAGTTGAGCCACTGATCTTACATGGACTGTTTTACCGATGTCCTTACAATGTTTCTGGACCTGGGAACATTACAGTTGCGTTGCGGTCTATGCAGGGTCTGAGAGCTCTCACATTTCATCAAACATGACATGAGGGTGAGTAATTAATGACAGAATTTTCATTTTTGGGTGAACTATCCCTTTAAATGTCTGTCTTTTCATCAAACAAAGCCATCGTATGGCTTCAAAAGACTTGGAATATAGCGCAATCGTTGTGATGCTTTTATAGCACTTTTTTGTCCTTTTTGGAGCTTGGCAATGTAAAAATTATCCACTTTTGCTGTATGGAAAAGAACACCTCAGACATGCTGTTTTCCATCTCTTTTTGCATTTTACTGATGAAAAAATATACAGGAACAATAAGTGGCTGAGTAAATTAGTATATTTTTTATTTTTTGTTTGGGTAAACTACCCCTTGAAACTTTCTGGTTGGTTTCGTTTTCCTACAGAAATGGTCAACAGGGAATTTACAAGGAGATCATCACTGAAAGAGAAACGGCAGGACTCTAGAGACTCTGGATCCACTGCAGGATGCCTTATAGGGCTAGAGTAAAGAGACGACAGAGGAGAGACAGAGAGAGAGAGCTGGAAAAGGAGGAGAAATGAACAGACACAATGGAGATGGGAGAGAACGGTAAAGGGTGAGCATGTGTCAGTCTCTGTGTTGTGAGTGTGACAGGACTCCCAATCAGTGAGCAAAATAAAACCGCAACGTGCAAGTTTGTAGCTGGGCTGGCGTGAAGAGGGATCAACAACGGCACACAAAACAAAATGGCACTCACTCCAATAACAAGACACCAGAAAACACAAAAAAAGTGAAAAGAAATTTAAAAAAATTATAATAAATGATCAAAAACACAAGCTCCAGCAATAAAAATGTGAAGAAATTAAAAGGAAGCAAAGTAAAAATCACACTTTGCTCCGTGGCAAAGTTATCACTCCTCCACAACACGGAAATTCAGCACCCCAAAACCAGCCTTTTTTCCATTAAATTAAACAAAAGCACACAGTTAAGCTATCAACACCACTTCATAACGGTAAAAAGGCACACACAGCTCTATGTACTATTAAAAGTGAAAGTCCAAACCAAAATAAAACCAACATACATGCATCTGTAATCACCATTTTCGAGCTTGTTTGTGTGTGTTTGAGTCTACAGGTACTGTAGCTACAGATCTGCACAAAGCTCTCAGAGCTATTCCTCAAACCACCAGTTATCTTAACCCAAATCGAGCCTGTCGGACCAGAGAAAGATAGACAACATTGAGTCAGGCTATAGTGTCCAGTGTAAAAGATCTTCTTACTCACATACACACACACACATATATACACTCTCAACATCAATCTAATTATATCAAAGTATTAAATAAGCTTCAGTAATAATGAATAAGCACTGAACGTCACGTCTTCCCTATTATCAATGTAAAAAAATAAATTTGTTCATGACACCTCTGCGAGTTCATAATCTGGTCCTAAAACTGGTTTGATGTTTAAAACTACCACTGAACACATACATAATATATTTTTGCTGTTACTCACCCATATGGTCTTTGGATGAAAGCAGGGTGAATCTGAGGGACACCGAAGGTAAAACCTGCACACAAAAGAATTAAATAGCAAATTAACAAGGCTTTGAGCATTTTTGCAAAATTACTAATGTTACAATCCCAACTAAACCTGCTAAAGATGTCTGTAGATGAAGTTAAACATTGGTGGAACTACTATTTTGTCGAAGTTTGCCAAGTCAATGGGACTGTATACATTAAGTACAATAGCTTACAGTTAATCACATCATTACATCTCTATTCTCCTTTACAGTCACTGTTTACCATTAATTAAGACCTGACAACCTTAGGTAAACATCAGCGCATGTACAAACAAAGAAACTACAGAACTGAAAAATGCCTATGCTTTTGTTGGAACATAAATGTATCTGCGCTTTGTCAGTCACACCTTGTAGGGTTTATTGGGAGTCATTGCGTCAATAAAAGAGTGATGCAGTTGGTAACAAATGGCTTCTTCTCATGAATATTATCTTTATGTCTTTGCTCTTCATAGCAACACATAGAAGCCTCACCTGGCTGCATCACCCGTGGCTTGGCTCCGAGATAAGCCAGGTTAACGTTGGCTTTCCTGCCGTCGATTATGGGGTTGGGGTCCTTACAGGCTCTGTCTGCAGCAGAGCGGTCTGCCATAGTCACCTAGTTTGAAACAGAACAAACAGAGAAGTGTGGTGCATGAGAGATTCACATTAAAGCAACAAATGATCTAAAAACTAAAGGGATATGCTAATTATGCTAACATAAATACAAAAACAAGCTTCCATGGCCCTATTTGGTACTGAATAGCCAGAGAAAGCCATTGCAGACTTCACTGAATTCCTTTAAACAAACTCTTGCGACCTCTGCCCCAAATGAGGCTTTAAACACAAGATGGTGTGTGTTATTTAGTGTTTATTTATTTTTAAAGATGTCTGGCTAACAAAATCATTAAAAACAGAGGTCACTCAAGGCTTTCTACACCTTATTTTGGATATCCTCGTGAAGCAGGCAACAGGTTTGTTGTGAAATCCACTAGGGTCCTTTAACTTCTGCTGTGTGGACTGTCAAAACTTTACAAGTTGGCTTGTTTACTCAGTCGCTGAGGAACTCTTATCAGGGTGCTTCTAGTCAAACTCGACAGCTGAGCCAACAAGGGCCCGTTTTAGACTTCAATTGTGCACTTTGTTCAGACAGGAATTATTCATATTCTAACTATTAACACTCAGCTTGAATTTATACTTAGAGTATTTTAGATTTAAAGGGGCCGCCGCCGTTCAATCAAACATGATGGTGCTCCAAACTTGTATGACTTTCTTAGGATAAAAAGGAGATTTCAGGGTCTCAGTCAAAATTCACTTTCATTATATCAGGGTGTTTTTTTTTTTAACATAAAATGAAAGTGAATGGGGACTGGGTTATTCAAGTTTCGTGTTCGCCACAACAACATGGGGGTAAGTAAATGAGTGGGGTGAACTGTATAACTGAAGCTATAGTGCTTCTTACAACACCGGTTTCAATATCAGTCTGTAAAATAAATGCATGCAGGTAGAATGAAACAATTTTAAAAGTTTAAAACTTTTAGCGGCCACTTACTAAAGAAATAAAAGTATTTGAGCAAGCACTGATTACAAAACAACTAGTGAGTTGCCATTTAAATGTGTTGTGTCACGCTGTCACACAGCCGCGGCGCAAAATGTTTGTTTCAAAGTTTACGTTTGACAGTCATGGTGGGAATACTTACAAATCCATAACCCCTGGACTTTCCAGTCTGTCTGTCGGTAATCACCACCGCTTCTTCTATTTCGCCAAACACTTCAAAATATTTCCTTAGACTGGAATCCGTCGTATGATACGGAAGACCACCGACAAATATCTTGGTATAAGTGGTGTCCTTTTGGGTGGTATGCATCCTCACAAAAAATGCTCAAGTGCAAAAAAATAAAAAAAGGAAAAGACGATAACTGTTAGTGCAATTTAGGACTGATAATGACCGTAAGACTCCTTTAATATTCCGTTAAAATATTCACTAGAAGTTACAAAAAGCGATTGCTGAGAAATATAAAACGCACGCGCGCAGATGGGTTTAATGTCAGAGGTAGATTAATGTGGAGCGGATTGAGCCAAAGATCATCAGGTGGGTCGGACTCCTCTTCCAAACTGACGTGACTTCTAAAAAGTGCGTGTGACCCATTCCTAAAAGCACCCGGTTAAACTACACCCAGATCACTTTGAGGGCGGTACGAGCACGCTTGACCCCACGCCCACTACACGCGCTTGAACAACAGCTGGACGGCGCACAACGGGCATCTGTGTGCCTTTGTTCAAGAACTGTAGACATTTCATACAGTTGTTGTTTCAGTAAATGCATGTAAATTTGTGTGTGACAGGAAAATGACTCCAAACGCCACGCTTTTCTAACAGTAACCTTGCTTTAAAAGCCAGATTAAACCAACCACATGGTTTTAGGTTTAAACAGGTCTCCCAGCCTTGCCAAGCTTGTAAGCAAGCTGTTCTCCCAACCAAACCAGCTGAAAAATGCCCTAAAACTCTATAAGACCATCTGAATACTGTCTGAAAACCCTATGAAACCAGCCTACAGACCAGAATGGAAGACAAGCAAACTGTGCTCGGTTAAACCAGCTTATGCTTGTTTAAGCTGTTTTCCCCAGCAGGAAACATTGGCAGTTTTGAGATCTAACAAAAATATGGCTTCAGGCAAAAACTAAGCATGACAGCGCCAGATCTGTTACAAATAGGCTAAACTTAATTGCTAAATTCAAAAAGGCAATGGTTGTAATGGCTGACACAAATTGGGTTAACACTGCATATGACCCAGTGCATAAGAAAATAACAAAAGAATGACTTACTAAATTTTATGAAAAATGAAACCATTCGTCATTTTTTTTAATTCTGAATATATATATATGTTGTATGTATGTGAAATATATAAATGTATTTAGGATTTAAAATGTATTTTGTCCTGTAAAATGTATTTTGGCTCCTTCAGGGCATAGTGTTGCTGACACTAACCCAGCGCCAGCTTGATATGAATATAGCATTTTAACTCACTAACATATAGCTTTTTATGTCAAAATGGCAAATAGACAATATGGCTGAATCAAAAAATCAGTATGGCCCATGGAATGGAATGTGATTTCATGAACTTAGAGCAAAGTATTTAAAATGTTGCAAAATGTTGCTAACAAAAACAAAACGTTTCCAACACACACCTTTCACACTTGGTCAATAATAGACATAGCTATCTGTAGATAAGCACAGAAGCAAACCCAGCATATCTTATCAGGCTGATCTTGTCCGTTGGGACAACTTGGCAGGTGGTGGGTAAGAGAGTTAAAAGAGTTCTTCAGGTGAGGAACTGGAGAATGGACGCGTTTCAAATGCTGTTTCATTGAAACTAAAAGCAGAGTGAGCGTCTGGGCATGTTTCCTGCGTCCCTCAATGAGTATTTGCAGCATAAAGGCACTCATTTTGTGTTGTCAGCACCTTTCATTTCTTTTCACACTTTTTTGTGCATTTTTGATTACCATTTTTATAAATATAAAACATTTAATATTGTATTTTGTTATATTTTTCTATTTTGTGTTCAGTCACCATTTGATTAAACTGATTTCAGCATCTTTAATAACTTTTTTTGCTTTTTTGTAACATGAATTTGTAGAAATATGCATAAGTCTCTACTTCATACTTCAGGACACCACTGCTATTTATTGCAACATCAAATTAAAATCAGTTCATACTTAATTAAAAGTATAGTATAGCATTCTAACGTTTCTTTGAACTATGTGAAAGGCACATCTTTACAACAATTACAACTGCTAATGTCAGACCATCCCAATCTCCTTTAGGACAAAAAGAACAGACGATTTTCTAGGTCTCCATATAATTGGGAGGAATGTGATATGTCACCAGGTAAATTATTAAACAGCCTTCTCATTTAGACCATACAACTTCCAAAGCACTTGGGTGATGGAGTTTTTGTGGAAGCTTGCAACCCGAGAACTAGCCTGTATGGTGTGACCCGCCAAGCCATGTGGAGATCCTGACGCCCGTGGATGGATAATTGAGGCTTTATATAAAAAATGTCAGGTAGGAACTCGATCGAGAGCATCCATGAATCAACTAATTTATTCATGCCTGGCCACAAGCTCATTAAGCTGCGAGTGGAGGCGCAGTGAGGGAGATGGCTTTGTGTTTCAGCACAGTTACAAAAGGAGGCCTATCTTCTTTCAGGAGCTGTCTACGCTTACAAGACATTGACTTGATCTTTTTTTCTGTAGGCTACAGTTTTATGGGCACCCACTGTATAACTTAATTGACAATCAATTTCATAAACTTTCCAATGGAAGAAATAGTCTGACTTCAATTGACAAAGCTCAACTGACAGCATTTGTGAAATAATGATGATTACCACCAAAATGATTTTGACTAATGCCTTTTTTTTCTTTAAAATAAAAAGCAAAAATCAAAGGTTCTGCAATAGAAGTCAAAGGGCCCAATTTTAAGGATTTGAAAGCAGAAATGTGAAGCTCATAATTGTATAAAACAACTTGCATTCATTTTTATGTTAAAACTTTGAACTGTAAAGTTGGGATTGTCATTTTTACAGTTGTTTTTATTAGTTTTACATTATTTGATTAATTTTTTTTTTTTCCAAATATGTCTAAATAGGTTTTTATTAATATTTATTTGTTTTAGTTTAGTTATTTTAGTACATTAAGTTAAATAAGAAATGTTACCTTGGAAACTAGCTGAAATAAAACCAGTTTAAGTTTTTAAATTTTATTTCAGTTAACATTTAAGTAATTAAAATATTTGTAATAGTTTAGGTTTACTATAATAACCCTGATTAACACACATTATTTACGTCTTGTGGTTATACTATTGAAACATTAACATTTATGGATTGAAACTTATTCTTGAACCCAGAATATTCCATAAAGTTAATGGATATAACCTGTCTTGTTAGTTCTTCTCCTTTTCAAGTTGGGCTTACACAGAGGGAATGGTTTATAATAGATCTAATGCTCTTTTTGTAGGGCAAACGAAAAGAACGAGAGATTTTGGAGAGCCCTCAACACAATCCACCTGTCAAACACAGTCCCTCACTCATACAAACACACATTTACGGCCTTCAGAGGTCACTGGTTCTAGCGAACAGCTGAACGGCTTTGAAAGCCACACATACAAGTCATAAAAGGTTAGGGTTGAAAACTCTATAACCGTATGCTTCATTTATTTGGACAAAGTCAGGTGAAATCTAGTTGTGCGGTACATATGTTTTAATGTTTGAGTCTGTGAGGCTAATTTTCATATGGTATCATAAAAGCCTGTCTGACAAGAGCCAGCTTGAATGGTTAGGCATTACTGCATTGATAGAGGGGGCATTTTCAAATGTAACAGGTGGGACCTGTCGGAATGTCAGTGCAGGCAGACAAATCACTGGCAGCTGTAACAGCCCACACACACACACACACACACTCAAAAGATGACAACACGTTTTTTAAAGGTATCTAGTTTTATATAATTAGCTAATTGCAAGAGGTCTAGTTACTTAGAATAGTTACACCAACATAATTACAAAGAGACATACTAACATGCAAGGAAAACACTAGAGAGCCATCTCGGATTTCCACTGTCCCCAAGACAAAACAATTCCGTTTCAGCCTAACTACATTAGCTAAGTAGCGCCACCTTGTGGACAGCCATTTCCCTTCAGTGGAAGGTACACAATAGCAGCCGAGTGTTCAAAAGAATATATTGATTTTTAGACAAAATATCTCACAGATTATTGTAATAATTGATTGCATATAAAAGTAGTTTACATGATAAACTGTACATAAAAGCTTGGGGTTAGTAAGAAATTAATACTTTCATTAAGCATGGATGCATTAAATTGATAAAAAATTACACTGTATAGATATTTATAATGTTATAAAAGATTTCTATTTCAAGTAAATTATGTTCTTTCGAACTCTCTATTCGTCTAAAAATCCTAGGGAAAATGTATCATGACTGTCTCAAAAAGATTAAGCAGAACAACAGTTTTCAACGTGGATAATAATAATAGGAAATTATACTTCAGCAAAAAAATAAAATAAAATAATAATAATTCAGCATATTACAATGATTTCTGAAGGATTTATGTGATTATGTGACACTGAAGATTTGAGTAATGGCTGCAAAAAATTCAGTTTTGTCATCACAGGAATAAATTACACTTTAAAATATGAAAGAATAAGACAGAAAACAGTTATTTAAAATGATTATTTGTAATTATAGGTTTACAATATTTTACTGTATTTTTCATCAAATAAATGCAGCCTTGGTGAGCACAAGAGACTCTTATACAAAAAACATTTAAAAATCTTACTGGCCCCAAACTTTTGAGAAAGAATAATGTTCTTAAAATTCAAGTATGAAAGAAATATCTCATTGGCAACTTGCATATAGTATATATCATGCTGAATTGTTAACCCTTCAAATCATTGTTCTGCTACCTACATAATGACTGCATCAACCTGTTTACACTTATTAGGCACATATGTCCATGATAATGTAAAACCCAAAGTCAGAATTTGATCGGAGCCATACCCTGCATTAAAATAAACAAGATTAATCAAGTGAATAACATGTAAAGTGCATGTGCAACTCTAAGAATGTACATTAGGAAATCTCGCTAGATCAAGCTGCTTCTGTATGTAGTTTCATTCTGAAACACACACACAAGCAGCAGGACTAAAATCCCTCATCTGTGTCTTCAGTCTGTTGGAAGGTGGAGTCATTTTCCAGTTCTGGGGAATCATTAAGTCTTTGGTCCTCAGACTCTCCATTGACTGGCTCCATTGATTGCAGCTGTTTGGTTCTGGTTGGGACAGGAAGCTGTTCGGAATGGAGCAGTTCCAAGGGGTCGAGTTCCCCGTCTGCGGTCACTGGGGCAGCGAAACTCGGCCGTGCTGATTTAATCCTCAACCTGCGTTTCAGGTCTTCCTCCTTCTCCTAAAACAGATGTTTTAACCATATTGCATAATGTTGCGCCACATACTAATTCTAATTCAATCTAACTGCACAAAAAAGTGCAAAAACTCCATCAAATAAGATTTTTTAAATTAAGAGATTTTAAATGCATTAAAACTGAATGAATGATCAATGTCATTTGGTTCTGCTTCACCTTTCTCCTCTCCTCCACCTGTCTCATCTTCATCTCAATGTCTTCCTTTCTGGTGACTTCTTGTTCTTTGTGAATTTTCAGTGACTCTAGCCGAGCAGGAGGTCTTCTCTTTGGCTTCTCAGCATCATCCATCTAACAGACATTATAAATGTTTGTCCCAGAGGAACAGAAATGATCACGTATACATACACACAATATGAAAGTTAAGTTACAGATACTTTTCAAAGAATAGTCAACTAAACGTTTGAGTGGATTAAAGACTAAGTAAACACCAAAAAGTGTGATCAGGACCCCGACAAAATATGAGTAAGTCTTGTATCAAGGGGTTTATTTTGGAATTATTATTGGCCAAACATATGATCACACATATTGCAATGCAACTTACTAAATAAGTAAATAAATATAGCCTACATTATACACTACTAGTCAAACGTTTTTGAACAGTAAGATTTTTAATGTTTTTTTAAGAAGTCTCTTCCAAGCCTGCAGTTATTTGATCCAAAATACAGCAAAAACAGTAATATTGCAAAATATGTTTACTATTTAAAATAACTGTTTTATTTGAATATGTTTTAAAATTAAATTTATTCTTGTGATCAAGTCTAAATTTTCAGCATCATTACTCAGTCTTCAGTGTCACATGATCCTTCATAAATCATTCTAATATGCTGATTTGCTGCTCAAGAAACATTTATTATTATTATTATCATCATCATCAATATTTAAAACAGTTGAGTACAATTTTTTCAGGATTCTTTGATGAATAGACAGATCCAAAGATTTTTTGTAACATTATACGCTATACCATTCAAAAGCTTGGAGTCAGTATAATCTTTTTCTTGGGGGAAGGGGGTTATAGGAATTAATACTTTTATTTAGCAAGGATGCTCTAAATTGATCAAAAGTGATGACACTTATAATGTTTATAATGTGAAGACATTTATAATGTTACTAAAGATTTCTATTTTAGATAAGTGCTGTTCTTCTTTCTACTCATCAAAGGAACCTGAAAAAATTCTACTCAGCTGTTTTTAACATCATAATAATAACAAATGTTTTTTGAGCAGCAAATCAGAATATTAGAATGATTTCTGAAGGATCATGTGACTGGAGTAATGATGCAAAAAATTCAGATTTGAAATCACGGGAATAAATTACATTCTAAAATATATTCGAATAGAAAACAGTTATTTTAAATAGTAAAAATATTTCAAAACTTTACTGTTTTTGCTGTACTTTGGATCAAATAAATGCAGGCTTGGTGAGCAGAAGAGACTCCTTTAAAAAGCATTAAAAATCTTACTGTTCAAAAACTTTTGACTGGTAGTGTATATAGATAGACCTTAAGCAGGTTAGACGCCATATTGAATTTAATGAGGCTGTGAGGAATAGACCTAGTTTTTACAATGGCATACACTGCATGAACATCCTAGATCATGTAATTTTCTTTTTCTTTTTTTTCAGAAAGACAGTTTAACAGCTGAACAATCAGTATGTTGATAAACAACAGTACAATCCACTGAAAGCACTGTACAGCCTCATCTTCATTCCTGCCAAAAATTAAATATGGTGCTTTTTTATTAAGTTATTTTTATTCTTTGTTATTTTTTTTATTAAGTTATTTTTATTTAATCAAATGTATTTTTAAAAAGAACTTATTTTATTATGTGAGAAAAATAAGACATGGAACTAGTATAAGAGATTGTGACAACAGTCATATATACAGTTTAGAGCTCATTACACAAAAATATTTGACTGCAGAAAGTCATGACCAATCAGATTCAAGTATTCAAGTCTTATAATAATAAAGACTATTCTAGTAATGAATACAGGCATGTATGAAATTCTTATTCACTTTATAAGAATTCAATTTTGGACATTTCCACAACACAACGCAATGTGTAATTGAAAATACAGGTGAAACGTCTATGAACAATCAATATGCACAATTCCTTCATATGAACTTTTCTTGGAGTGTTGATTTTTAATGCGAGAAAAGGCAATATTTGAGAAATCATAACACTTTTATATTTTAACATTGACAACAGCCCTCACCATGATGTTGTAGGCTTCCCCACTTCCACCCTGTCTTGGTTGAGCTGGAATGATTCCCTGAACAAGCAGCTGCTCCAGGATCTCACTGGACTCGGGCCTCTCTTCACTTTGCTGGGCCAGTCCAGGACTCTGGGCTAGATTTCACACGATGCGTAGGTCAAAATAATGAATATACTAGGTTAATTTCCTACATTCTATTTTATATTGTTATTCCATTTCAGCTTTCCTATATCTCTGAAAGGCCTCAAAGCTGGCCAGCAGTTTTTAGCTCCTTTAAAGTGAAATAACATCAAGTTGTCCTAGAATTTCTATCTAACCTTGTAGTGGTGGCAGCATTCTAGGTACAGATCCAGGTAGAACTGCTGGCAGACTGACCCCGCTGTCTGTGGTCATTTTGGACACGGCAGAGTCACCGCGAGAGCCTCCCTGAGCCACAACAAACTCCAGAGTTTCAGTCTACAAAATAAAAGCAAAGTAAGTCAGATATAAGTCTGCATGTAACAAAACACTGACAGCCTAAATTATTTGCTAGTCTTGTAAGGTCTGTTGGCTGGTTTTAAAGGGATTTGAGACTGGGAAACCAGTTAAAATCAGCTAAGACCAGCAAAGCAGCTTTGGTTGGTTTAAGCATTTCATTTTGTTTAATTATTCATCTAATTCACCTAATATAGACTATTAAATATCACAGTTGTGAGAACAACAGATCTCTTCATCAGTTTCCTCATATGTTTCAACATACTATAACCACTACCGACTCGCTAATATTCCGTTTATTAATTCATATTTGAAATCACCATAAATCGAATAACAAAAAGATTACAGCTTACCTCATTTCCGTTCAGACCTCTTGGTTTTACGGGTTCGACCACCGTGATTTTGGAGCTCCCACATCCCATGCTTATCGCCCAGGACAGCGCGAGCTTTCAACTATTTGATCTGTGTGAAGTTCTCAAACACTGTCGCATTCCAACACATGATCCAGTCATGGACTCTCTACGTTGCTATGATTCGTTGCTACAATAAATCTGACCCCGTTCCAGAGGTCACGCAACCTGTTATGTTGCCTTGGCTCTATGCTTGTCAAAAATAAAACACGGGTTTATACTGGTGATTGATTATTAGAACAAAAGTGGCATCAACAGTTAATTTTTCAGTTAATTATTAGTCACTAGATTATTTTATTAGAATTAAAAATAGCCTAAATAAATATCTGAAACCAAACACTAAAAAAGTTTTCTTACTATTGGCAACCCAACTTTTTTATTTATTTATATATTATTAGTTTTTCATTTTTTTTTTTTTTTACTTTATTAGTGGCAAAATTGTTATGGGTGGGACAAATGTGAAACAATCAAAATCTGTCTATATAAAAGTAGCGAAATGTATGGTTTCTGTGGGTTAATTGTTTCCAACACAGAGATTAAAAATATTTTTTTTTACATATCAAGCCTAATCAGTTTCCCTGTGGTCAGTTTTTTTAGGCAGCCTGGGAACCAATTAGAAGTAATTGTGCCACATAAAGGACCATAATAATCCCAATGGACATACAGCTCACATGCAGGCAGTGCTTTTATTTCCTTTTTATTTGCCTCATTAAATCTCTGACTCTGACTTATCACCCAGTCTTGCTCTGGTATTCCACTATTACACAGATATTTTTTCTCATTATATTGCTAGGTCTTCACATGGTCTTGGACTGTAAAGTTTACTATAAAGATGGTAACCACAGAACCCTTTTCAATATCACACTTGTAGAGCCTTATCCTGAGTGCTTGTAGCTATTCTTTAAGCGTTTAATAAATTAAATCAACAAATCAAGCTAATTTTGGTGTTCTTTTTTGTCTACTCTTATTGATGTCTTTCTTCAAAATGATGATGTGTTGGCTACATTTACTGGAAACGGCCTGTGTTCTAATGACATACCCGTCATAAAACAATTGGCCAAGGCTTGACAGATCTATAACACATTATATGTCACCTAGACACCTTCTTCTACTACAACCACAAAGATACCTAGCCCACCAAATGGCACAATTAGGTCTGACTCCCTCATAACTTCTTTTGTTGGTTAACTAATCATACTAAGTAGATAGCTGCCAGCACTCATATAAGATGTAATAAATTATATGTAGGCCTATTTGAGTGAATATCTAGATTTGATGAAAAAACAAACAAACAAAACCCAATGTATTCATACATGTAAACAGTACCAAAGAAAACTGTGCAGATATAAATATACATAGCCTATAATAAATTAGACGCAAAAAAATATAATAATCAATTTAAAATAAAATATATTTACCAATATATTCAAATAAATATAAATAACATGCACTGGAAAACCCCCAAAATATATATTTTCTAAACAACAAAGTATTAAAGGATCTTTTAGCTTCTATATTTATCATGTGGAGTAAAATCTGACAGTAGGCCTAACCATTACATTGAAAGAAAAAAAGAGGAGGCTTATAATCGTGCCAATACAGCTTCTTGAGTCCTAAATTAAATTAGACTAAATAGATTTGGTTTTACATTCAGATTAGATTAAACTGATTTTAGATGGGACTGAATTAGATGAAGAACGACGGAGAACATTTCCAACGTGATCTTCTGAACTTCCCCAAGTAGATGTCCATCACATCATAAATCCGTTAGGGACTCTGCAGGACACCGGCCCTCCAGCACCGAGTTTGGGCACCCCTGCGTTAGGGTAAGATCTGCTTTTCGCCAGCGCGCAGTCAGGCCAGAAGATGGTAGTATCGCTCATCTTTCCTCCAGTCAACACCCACGAACCCTGAATGACCCCGCCTGAAACAGAGCCCTGCAAATGCGAGAAGCTCTTATAGCCTCCTGCCTTTACCCAGCCAATGAAGTCGCCTGAAATAGGGCGGTGAGAACATCTCGACCCACTCAACTTTAGTGAAGTTCTGTCAGAGAAGCTCGGCGCTGGCGGAGACGGAGTGGAGTGTCTTCCGGACCCGTTGTCAGTTTGGATGAGACCAACCATGGCGCCCAGTCAGGGTTCCAGGATGCTCAGTAAAGATGATGCGAATTATAAACTTCACTTTCGGATGATAAACGAGCAACAAGTGGAGGATATCACCATTAATTTCTTCTACAAACCGCACACCATTACTTTATTGACGTTCACCGTCGTCAGCATAATGTACTTTGCGTTTACGAGGTGAGTAAACAGGAGGTTTACGACAGAACACACCTGTCTGTCAGCATGGCAACAGCAACTCGGAGCGCGTGACAGCGTTCTGTCAAGACGACTACTTTATTCAGTTTCAGCAACAGGTATAAAGATGATTGGTTACAATGTTGCCAACGCACATCAGGTTAACAACTGCTTTAAATTTAAAAAGTAAACGAGTTTTTCAATGCCACTTGGAGTTATAATAACAACAGTGTTTACACACAACCTGGGGCCACGACTTAAAATGTTTGATTGTATTGATAATAGCCTAATGTTTTAAAACTGCTTATTTATTTAAAGATTTAAAGATTGCATTTTCAAAGTGTTTTTGAATGACTTAACTGTTAATGTGATCTATTCACTTATCTATGTCAGGGTTATTATAATTAACTAAAACCATAAAAAGTTGTTCCTTGAGATAAAAAAAACACAACTGAAATGAAATAAAAAACAGCTAGTTGACAAGGCAACACTTCTCATTTTTATTTAATTCAACTTGATGTACCAAAAACTAAACAAAAACTGAAATAAAAATGAATAAAAAAACAACAGATGTTTAAAAAAAAAAAAAAAAAAAAGACAAAAAACTATAAAATTATTAAAACTTCAACTAAAATAAAAATGAAAAATATAAAAAGAATAACTAATTTAAAATATGAATAAATCTGGCAATAGTATCTCAATGATACTAAACACTGGTCTGTCTTATTCTCCATTGATCTGCCACACCCACACCAAAAAGTCTGGTGACATTGTGAAAGGTTATTGTTCTATGACATAAGCATGGCTCTGATATGTTATCTGTACTTCGTGTTTTTATTATGGCAGGGATGATGGTGATTCTGATAATAACCTTCGTGTGGGTCTGCTGCTGGTCGGCTCTTTCTTTCTTGTTATCAGTGTTCTTGCCTTCCCCAACGGTACTGTCATTGTTCATTTGCTTCTCAGTAGAAACAAACTTTAACTGGATGCAAATTGACTTTTGCTGATTGCTTTCATTGCAGGAAAATTCTGTCATTATTTACTCACCCTCATGTCTTTTCTTCCACGGAACACAAAAGCAAATATGTAAGGCAGGATTTCCAAGCTGCTCTTTTCCATACAATAAAAGCTCAGGCATTTGGCTAAACCTCTCCAAGTAAATCACACAAATAGGAATGACATGAAAATGAACACATTTTTTTTTTTCTCATTGGATTAAAAAAAACACTTTTAGGTCCTTTCACAAGACCGCATCCCGTTATATGGCGCATGGTTTTTGGTGAGTGACTGTTAACAGTCTTTTCTTGTGTGTTTACGTATCAGTGGCTATGTTGACTCAACCTCCAACACCTTGATCTATTGGCACTTTGCAGGTCTCAGTGTCCTTTACTTCCTATTCCTGGTGTTCCTCATCTTCCTGAACTGGGATCAGGTGAAGGCGCTGTTGTATTGGCTGGACCCCAATCTACGTTATGCTACACGAGAAGCAGATGTCATGGTGAGCGATATGAGATCCCAGGACAAAAACTAAATTCATTCTTGAATGAGAAACTAGAAGCTAGCCATCATGTCTTAGACTGATGATACACGGGGCAACTTTTTGAGCAATATTGCTGGGCAATTTTGGGAAATGTTGCCGTCAACGGGCAACCAGGTGAGACACAGGGCCCACGACTGATCTAAAATATCCAGATAGAAATTTGTTAGCCATTCTCAATGGGAAAGTGCCCAAGAAACGTTGCTCAAAAAAAGTTGCCCGGCAAAATTACTCAAAGTTGCCCTGCGTATCATCAGCCTTATACTTTTTGTTGCCGTAGCACATCATATTGTGTTTTATATAAATGATAACAAACCTGTACTGGCGACTCAAGTCAATATTTAATCACATTGAGCTGTGAACACCTAAGCTTTTCTCACTTGGATGGATCCTTGGCTTTCATTTGAGACCTATTCATTTTTTTAATTACTCCATTGACATAAAGGAGTGCATTCAGTTTTATATAATCTGCGATTTCCTGCATAATGTCATCTTTGTCTATGGCTGCATGTCAATCTTATGCATTTCTATAGGCAATCATGGTCACAGCAGACTAGTGCAGCCCATAGATTATGTCTGAGCTGTGGAGTTTGAAACCCTCCGTTTAGTGTTTCTAATCCAGTGAATTATGATTAATTACTGTAAAGAGATAATGCCAGCTTTCTGTAAGAGGTTTCCATGTAGCTCAGAGGATGGCCTGACTGCGGGCGTTCAGTCAATAGGATTATTTGAATCTCTGTCCATTGACATCAGGCTCCATGTTGCTCACTATCTAATTTGCACTGCGCCCTACTTTTTTTTTTGTTTTTACATTTACAGTATTTATTAATTTTTCAATTTTATGTTTTTTGCGTTTTATTTATTTATTTATTTTATCCCAATTTTTACAGGAGTATGCAGTAAACTGTCACGTGATCACATGGGAACGCATCCTGAGTCACTTTGACATTTTTGCCTTTGGTCATTTTTGGGGCTGGGCAATGAAAGCTCTACTCATCCGCAGCTACGGTCTCTGCTGGTCTATCAGCATCACATGGGAGCTCACAGAGGTAATGCATTTTATATATTTATACTGTTTAAATGTCAAACATCATTTTTTTTTATGCTTTTGCAAGAAGTCTCTTATGCTTATCAAGGCTGCTGATTTGATAAAAAAAATACAGTAAAACCAGCAATATTGAAACATTATTACAATTATTACAAATTTGACACCATGAGTGGCTGGGTGTCTTTCCCAATCAAATACCTTTGAAAGTAAGTAGTTGCTCATGCAATAGTACTGATTATGCAACTTCCTCATAACCCAATACTTAATAATCTGTAAAAATTGATGTCAAGGAAATGGCTAAGTGTTCTCTGACTAAGCAAATAAAACACAAACTCTCAGTTTGAGGTAAACCCTGATAATATCTTATGGAGTATAATTTTTTTTTATGCATGATTGTTTGAGGCATGCTTATTATTATTATTATTATTATTATTATTATTATTATTATTACTTTTAATACCATATACATATGAGTTGATACTAGATTTGCCGACTATCACTAATTCACAATACTGTCTCAGAGTTGAGCAGTGAAAACCGCCTGGGTTGTTATATAGGGCATACCACCACTTGTTGTTATATGTCTCTCGTCTCTATCTTTCTTCCTCATTCAGTTGTTTTTCATGCACCTCCTGCCAAACTTTGCAGAGTGCTGGTGGGATCAAGTCATTCTTGACATCCTGTTGTGCAATGGAGGGGGCATTTGGCTTGGCATGACTGCGTGTCGCTTTTTAGAGATGCGTACCTACCACTGGGCCAGTATCAAGTAAGCTCTTTTTATGATTAATCTGTGGCTGTTCACTATGAAACCAGCATTTGTAATTGAAAAATGCAGTTTATAGTCATAATTTTGCTGCCACTAATGTTGCAGAAATTAACAAGCAGTAGTAACAGTAGTTACACTCCCCACCATTCATACTCTCTGTGATTGTATTGTGTTTGGGAGATATGTATGCAGAGATTAGTTATCTGTGTTAACTCCAAACCTGTTTTGCACTACATTCTTGTTGGATCATCTGATCCCGTTTTTAGGTCACTGGGGTAGTGTACAATGATGTTCATGTGTTTAGTATTATTGTAAACAGGTCGTTTGTGTTTTGTATATGTTCAGGGATATCCACACAACCACAGGCAAGCTGAAACGGGCTGTTTTGCAGTTCACTCCGGCCAGCTGGATGTATGTGCGCTGGTTTGACCCCAAATCCTCTTTTCAGAGGTTGGCTGGAATCTACCTCTTCATGATAGTATGGCAGGTGTGTGATCTAAAACATAAGTAGTATGGAAAGCCTTTCAGTTTATGCTACATTCAAGCTTGTTGCTTATAAACAGAACCTCTGTCCCACAAACTTTACTTCAGCCATGACTTTCCAAGTTGGGGGCATTTAAATGATAGATTCACAGTGAAAAAAATAAGTATTGATGATAATTATAATTTCATTATGATTAATGAGCGTACAATTTATTTGTACACATTTTTTGTACTTTAAATGAGAAACGCTTTAATGAGAACCTTAATAATGTTGCTTGACAAAAAATACTTGTTTAGCCAGCTTATGGTGACTACAAAACTACATATCCTATCTTTTTCTGTGATTATATACTAATAATATATAAAAAATAACGGTTTTCTATTTAATATATTTTAAAATGTAATGTATTCCTGTGATGGCAAAGCTGAATTTTCAGCATAATTACTCCAGTCTTCAGTGTCACATGATCCTTCAGAAATCATTCTAATATGCTGATTTGCTGCTCAAAAACTTTTCTTATTATTCTCAATGTTGAAAACATGATTCATATCTTTTGTGGAAACCATGATACCGTTTTTTAGGATTATTTGATGAATATAAAGTTTAAAAGAGCAATATTTTAAATATAAATCTTTTGTAACAATGTAAAGTTCTTTACGGTCACTTTTGATTAATTTAATGCATCCTTGCTGAATAAAACTATGAATTAAAAAAAAATCTTGCTGACCCCGAACTTTTTAACACTGGTATAGATAAAGCATCATAAAACATACACACCTAATGTACCCTTAGACCTTAAAAAATTCTTCTGTTTAATTGAAAAACAGAGCAAGAAATATGAAATAGCTCAATACATTCAGAAGATCTTAACCAAACAGTAGTAGACCACACTTTGTTTCTTTGTGGTTCTTTGGGTTTTCACTCACTTTTGTCCTGTTTCTTTACTCTCCAACAGCTCACAGAATTGAACACATTTTTCCTGAAGCATATCTTCGTATTCCAGGCCTCTCATCCTCTCAGCTGGTGCCGGATCCTCTTCATTGGGATCATCACTGCCCCCACAGTGCGGTAATGTCCAATTACCTTCTTCTGTGTTCCAGCGTAATCCCTTGAAATTAACCTTTCTTTGTACTGGCACTTCTCACCCAACCAAACAACATTAGGACATTATTTCACTTTATTTCATCAGAGTTTTTGCTCTAGCCTCGTTTTGCTTCTCTAGAGGTCGGGATCATTATCTCTCCAAAATCTGATGTACTAAAACGAAAGCTTTTCCTGGAAAGGCAGGACGTGAGATCCACAAGAACTGAGAAACATGAGACTGCCATGTCTTCAAAAGCCTGTTATTTTATTTATTGAAATTATTAGTGCTGGGCGGTATGACCAAAAATTTATATCACAGTATACCGTATTGCGGTATTTTAAAAATTAATATCATAACAAAAATAAACACCGGTATTCGGTATGAACCGGTATACCACCCAGCACTAGAAATTATTTATTTATTTATTTATTGTGGAGCGTGATCTGATGATCCATAAACATCATAAACACAGTAATGCTATTATTCCATTCTTTCAGCCATATAATTATTCTAAATACATTTATTTTGAATAATGACGTTTGGCAGGTGTGTATACACCCATTGTACTGTTTGATGCCAGAGGTGTTGAATGACTCCTATTACTTATCGTTTGCGTTTAGGCAATACTACGCATATCTAACAGACACCCAGTGCAAAAGAGTTGGAACACAGTGTTGGGTGTTTGGGTAAGTACATGCTTATTTATCTAATGCAAAAGTTCTATGTAATGCCTGTCAAAGTAAGTTTAAAAAAAAAAAAAATTTTCACAGTTCAGCCAGTAGTTTTTCCACTCTCTTTCTTGCCACCTTCCAGGCTTTCATTACTTTTCTCTGTCTATATGGTATGGTTTGGTATGAGCAGAATTATGGGAAGAGGCTGAAGGTAAATGACTGTATTTATTCATCTGTTACCATAACATGATTTACTGACAGATACTAATTAAATCCAGTGAATTCTTCAACAAGAATATAATCTAGCGCTGTCTGCTGGTCATTTACAATTGACAATATTTACATTAGAAACATCTCCAGCAGAGAGCACACAAAGTCACAATGATATGTCAGTGTTCAGGGTCTTGCTTTATTTTCCTTGTTTGTGCTTGCATATCAAATGTTGATAAACTGATAAATCTCTTTAACAGTACATTGCAGATTGTGACGACAGCATCCTTACTGACCCTTATGACTGCATTCCTGAAACTGCCAAAGGTAACATACAATCTGATTTGTTTTAGAGGGTTTCTCAAATGACACTATATACCTAGAAATTGACCATTTTAATGCGATTTTTCACATCAAGCTCAGATTTGTGACATGGAATTTCCTTTCGTTATTTCATTTTCTACCCTATAGATTAAAATTAAATTAAAAAGAAAATTGTATTATGATATGAAGGAATTTTGAAGGAACTATTTTAAGGAACATTTGAGATTTATTTACAATCAGTGTATCTTCCGATCATTCGTTTTTTTAATTTAATATTGAAATTTAATTTGTTCAAACAAAACGAAAAATCAAGAATTTGGCTTAATTTTTTATTTTTACGTTCAGGGATAGAAAACGAATAAGCAACTTAGTGTTGGGTGTTTGGGTAAGTACATGCTTATTTATCTAATGCAAAAGTTCTATGTAATGCCTGTCAAAGTAAGTTTAAAAAAAAAAAAAATTTTCACAGTTCAGCCAGTAGTTTTTCCATTTTGGATGTTTTGGGTCTTGCAATCAGCAACAGATGATGACTTATAGGGATAGTTAATCAAAAATGAAACTTCTGTCATTTACTCACACTTTTAAACCTGTATGACTTGTGTGGAACATTAACGAACACATTTGTGGAACACATTTTGAGCAGTTTACATTGACAACGCAAGTCAATAGGGTCCAATGTTGTTTTGGACCCCACTGACTTTGAGTTTATAAACAAAAATAGTTGAAAATATTTTCTTTTGTGTTCCATGGCATAAATAAAGTCACACAGGTTTGGAGTTTTCATTTTTGGGTAAGCTATCCCTTCTATAAAGACCCACTGTGTCATGATTCTGTCTGTTAAATTTGGAACTTATTTTGGAAATCCAGAAAAACAGTTCTTACAGTGGTATAGATACAGAGAGATTTAATACATAGGTTTAGTTCCGTCTCACCACAGCTGTTTTTGTCAGAATCAGGTGATTTGTGTCCTGTTTACCAGACATTCTCACTTTTTCCATTCGATTCTAAACAATGGAGGCATTTTCTCTTGGATTTGTAAAGCTCCAGGTCTGCCAGATTACTCCTACATAGTCTGGTGACTTAACAAACCACGCTTTTGTATTTGTAAGTCCTACAAGTCTGAAATGCTCATAGAGATTTGCCATTGTGCATTAAACACAAAAAGTTATTTGGATACTGTTTAACACTTAGAGAAATAGTTTAACTAAAAATTACAATTCTGTCATTTACTTACCCTCATGTTGAACAAGAAAAGGTAATATTTTGAGTTGTGTTTTTATGCTACACAATAAAAGTTAATGTGGTCTACTATTTTTGAACCCCATTGACTCTTCAGCCGTTTTGCTCCGATATTCTTCAAAATATCTGAAATAACTAAATATCAAACCAATCATGGCGTCTCATTTTCTATCTGAATTTTCAACAGTATATATGTTGGAATTGGCATTTAAATATTTATTTTAAAAAATTGTGCTGGAAAGTTTGTATAATGCAACATACATGAGTATGTGTTTTGTTCTGTAGGGCCATTGCTTTCCTGGAGGCCCTGGCTTGTATCAAATTTGGACAAGACTTGTTCTCTAAAACACAGGTTCTTTATGTTGTCCTTTGGCTTTTGTGTTTGGTGAGTGTTTTGGTTTAAATTTCTTTTATTTATAAATATTCTCATTTAAAAAATCTATTTATATACTTTATTATTTAAATATTTATATATATATATATAACTTAAATATTTATTATTATGTATCTATATTTTTACATTATTACCTTTTGAAATTAATGTTTGTTTTAGAGATCGGTTTATTGTTTTCTATAAAAGATACTGAAACCTTAACAAATATTGGCTATGTTGTTGTACTGTGACTGTGATATGTTGCAACAGTTTATTCTGTCCAGTTACACATCTGTAGTTTGCACTGAATGTTTACAGATTGAACCTTGTGTGTTTCTATAAACTATATACAGTGGGTCTGAGTCTGAGACCACACTGAAAAATCTCATTTAAAATATTCAAAAGTACAGAAATGTTGTATGGCACTGATTCTTAAAGTGTGGTACGCAGAGGAATCACTGAATTAAATATAAATTAATTGTGGGCGGGAATGAAACGCCCCTCTCCGCTGATTGGTCAACCAAACATTTAATAGTCCTACAAAAACATAATAAGAGTCCACTGCTTCTATGGATTCTTAACGTGTTTATTTCTACTACATTTTATCTCTTTCTCTTCATCAAACAGCCAGATTAACGAATGGCTTGACACAAACCGTATCGAGGCAGAGCCTAGACAGAGCTTTCTTTTGTGTAGGCATATATTCTGCAACCTACCCGTGAAATATTAGTTTCTTATAAATATTAATTTACTTAGCACCTGCACTCACAACTACCTACTAGCCTACATCTTTGGCATCCGCCTGAATTATTATAGCTAACCACCTATTAAAATCTGTGTGGCAAATCTGCGCGATGCACTGCAGCGTGGGAAGAATGTATTGTAGACAAGCGCAGACCACTATTAATTTATGTGAACATAGGTAGTTTTAGACAATAAACTGAGTTTATTTAATTAATATTGAGTATTGGCCAGCTAACTGATGGCATACAAAATTGTTATTTTCTCTGCCAACTAAACCAAAGTCACAGAACCGTTGTGTGACTGACTCGCAGCAGGCGCATAGAGTGGTGTATCATTCCTGAATGAATCCGAGTCTTTGAAAAACCCATTATTATAGACAACAATGCAATTACCAATTATTATAGACAGCCGCTTGATTTTATTCCTGAATGAATGAAGCATTTTGAACAAATTGATTGAATAAAAGGCTCCTTTGTTAACACAATGACTTACCGCCACCTAGTGGCGATATTACTTTCATAAATGTTTACAGATTGAACCTTGTGTGTTTCTATAAACTATATACAGTGGGTCTGAGTCTGAGACCACACTGAAAAATCTCATTTAAAATATTCAAAAGTACAGAAATGTTGTATGGCACTGATTCTTAAAGTGTGGTACGCAGAGGAATCACTGAATTAAATATAAATTAATGTTAAAACATTTTTTTAAAGTTTGCAAGGTGTCTAAATGATGCCTTTGTTCATTTTTTTTGATCAAGTACTGTACATTTTTTACTTTACATTTAAGTACAGTAATGTTTTTTTTTATTACTTTAAGTACAGTATAGTTTTTATTTAACTTTTAGGTACAGTACATTTTAATTTAATCAGCAAAACCCTTTATTATAGACAACAATGCAATTACCAATTATTATAGACAGCCGATTTTATTCCCAAATGAATGAATGAAGCATTTTGAATGAAGGCTCCTTTATTAACACAGTGACTTACCGCCACCTAGTGGCGATATTACTTTCATAATTCAAGTATCATTTCATTTTATTCATATTTCTGTATTAAAAATGTTGTATAAAACATTAATCTCATTTCATTATACATTTGTAATTGCTGTGTAAATGCACGTACAGCCGTCTGATCAGCATTAAACTGTAAATACATCTAAAAGCATCTTCAGACGCATGTTCTAGATCACTGAATACTGATTTAATTGGTAACAACCTATTGTCATATTCTTATTTATTTGATGTAAGAATTTAACATTAAAGATGACATACAAAAGATAACTTTTAGGTACAGTACATTTTAATGTTTTTTATTTACCTGTATGTAAGCACAGTGCAGTGTTAATGTTCAAACTGTGTATTTACAATGTTTAAAGTAATACATATTCCTATTAGGAATAAAACTGCCTCATTTTTGAACTGTGCATAGCTGTAGCTGAATAATTAGACCTACTACGCTACTGTATTTTAATGTTGGTCATTATGGTGGTACTTGTGAAGGCTCCTTTATTAACACAGTGACTTACCGCCACCTAGTGGCGATATTACTTTCATAATTCAAGTATCATTTCATTTTATTCATATTTCTGTATTAAAAATGTTGTATAAAACATTAATCTCATTTCATTATACATTTGTAATTGCTGTGTAAATGCACGTACAGCCGTCTGATCAGCATTAAACTGTAAATACATCTAAAAGCATCTTCAGACGCATGTTCTAGATCACTGAATACTGATTTAATTGGTAACAACCTATTGTCATATTCTTATTTATTTGATGTAAGAATTTAACATTAAAGATGACATACAAAAGGTAAAAGGTAAAAAATATATATAATCGAAGTGTTATTTCAGGGTTTTGATATGTTCTTATAACTCTTATAAATCACTGAAACAAGCACTCTGACAAACAAATAGTCCCATGCCAGTGGGATAACAACATATGATTTCCTAAATTTCTAGAAAGTGCTCTATGAATAAAACTCAAAAAAGAAAAAAAAATAGATGTGCTGTGAAGGTAAATTACACAAAGTCATTTCTTTTCATATCTGTCATATTAAGTTCCTCCTTTGTCTAAAACGCAGCGTATTCTCTAACACAAAAGTTATGACTGTATGTTCACATAAATTGATAGTGGTCTGTGCTTCACTACAATACATTCTCCCCGCGCTGCAGTGTGTTGCGCAGCTTTGCCACACAGATTTTGATAGTTAGCTATAATAGATCAGGCGGTGTGCCAAAAGGACCAAAGGCTCTCTACGCTACTGTATTTTAATGTTGGTCATTATGGTGGTACTTGGAGAGCCAAATATTTTCTGAGGTGGTACTTGGGTGGTACAAAGTTTGAGAACCACTGTTGTATGGCATTTAAAAGTCGTCTTCACTATTTAGTCCTTCACTAATAAAAAAGGCAAGTTATTTGATCATGTGCAAGTGGAACCCAATAGACATTCCCGAAATGCATGTTCATTTTTCACTTCGGGCTTTTTGCTGAAATTATTATGCTAATGATATACATAATAGTAATGTAGTAATACATTTTCTCAGAGATTTGAATCCCACTGTAGTGGCGAAGTCTTGTAATTGCTGTGTAAATGCACGTACAGCCGTCTGATCAGCATTAAACTGTAAATACATCTAAAAGCATCTTTAATTGTTACAGCCTATTGTCATTTTATTCTAATTTATTTGATGTAAGAATTTAACATTAAAGATGACATACAAAAGGTAAAAGGTAAAAAATATATATAATCGAAGTGTTATTTCAGGGTTTTGATATGTTCTTATAACTCTTATAAATCACTGAAACAAGCACTCTGACAAACAAATAGTCCCATGCCAGTGGGATAACAACATATGATTTCCTAAATTTCTAGAAAGTGCTCTATGAATAAAACTCAAAAAAGAAAAAAAATAGATTTGCTGTGAAGGTAAATTACACAAAGTCATTTCTTTTCATACCTGTCATATTATTTAAGTTCCTCCTTTGTCTAAAACGCAGCCACTTCTGCTTCACCACCTTCCTGGACCCATGGTTGTTTTTTGCTATTGTTTGGAGTGTCTGGAGTTCGCTCCTTAAGGAGATGTACTGTGTTTATTATACCTACTCTTGGGTCTTGCTGTTTTTCCATGAAATTACATGGATTTAGCAGGTGCAGCGAATTTACAGGATTATCTCACTTGTCATGAGGCTTGTCTAGCTTGCCCAGATGAGAGCTGCTGGGCCTAGGCTTAGAACAGGGGTGGGGAACGTTGATCCTGGAGGGCCACTGTCCTGCAGAGTTTAGCTCCAACCCTGAAAAAAAAATACGTACCTGTATCCTTAAGACCTTGATTAGTTTGTTCAGGTGTGTTTAATTAGGGTTAGAGCTAAACCCTGCAGGGACACCGGCCCTCCAGGATCAACGTTCCCCACCCCTGGTCTAACACAAAAGTTATGACTGTATGTTCACATAAATTCATAGTGGTCTGTGCTTCACTGCAATACATTCTTCCCGCGCTGAAATTGATAGTGGTCTGTGCTTCACTACAATACCTTCTCCCTGCACTGCAGTGTGTTGCACAGCTTTGCCACACAGATTTTGATAGTTAGCTATAATAGATCAGGCGGTGTGCCAAAGGACCAAAGGCTCTGCTTTGGTACGTTAAGCCATTCATTAATCTGGCTGTTTGATGAAGAGAAAGAGATAAAATGTAGTAGAAATAAACATGTTAAGAATCAATAGAAGTGGAGGACTATTATGTTTTTTTTTAAGGACATGAAGCCGGATTCTTGATTTTTCGTTTTGTTAGAACAATTGAAAAACGAAATATGTGCCGTTTTTCATTTTTCAGATTTCAATATTAAATAAAAAAAAAAATGAATGATCGGAAGATACCCTGATTATTTACCCTTCGAATATCTGTTTTACTTAACACTTATATGTATTTACATTATTACTACTATTAGCAGAGAGAAACTCCAGTAGTAATTCCACTTCATCACGGAGAAGAAAAGGAGGCTCTGGCAAAAACAAAACAATCAATGGAACAAGCAGCAAGAAGTGACCACAGCTAGAGACCAATGATCTCTCAATGGACCACAAGGGATGAAAGAAAGAATCTGTCGTAAACGGTTGAAGAGAGGTAAAGCGGTTAGCTGGGTGATAGTGTGCAGACACAAGAAGCGGTTCTATAAACGGAGGACACATTCCAAACCACAAGCCTCTGTCTTTGCAATGTACAGTTGTACACTAGTTTTCATTTTCATAGCACTTGGAAGGAAACAATGATTTGTGGTA